TCTTGTTTGTTATCATACGTGTCACTACCTACCTTTTTTATTCTTGTGTTTCTTTATGTGCTTCGTATTTTTTAGTTTACGTGTTTATGTTGTTTCCTTCCTTATTTCCTTTCTATTCTTTCTGGTTGTTTACTTAAGCTAGAAAATGGTTTGAGTGAAATTAAAGCTGTTAGACAGAATGTATTTGATTGAAAATAAGAACATAGTGCCAAAAATGAATTGGAAAAAATTTGAAACGAAATGTTGAGATTAAAAGAAACATTGAATTAAAAACTGAAGAGTGTGTGAACATAGTGAACCAATGAAACTAAATATTATTACACAAGCTCTCGATATAAAATCATTAAAAACTGAATTAGAAGAGTTTAAGACTGATTTATTAAAAACTAAATCAAAACAAAATGATTTAGAGAATTCGAAAATACAGAAACAGAACTAGTAGATTTTATTAGTAAAAAAGAAAATCGATTCAAATTGTATAAAAAAATAAAAGCTCTCAGTATTTTAGAAACATTTGTCAATAACTCAACTACTGTTGGATATTATAAATGCCACAGATTAACTTAAACTAAATATTAATTTATATGTACTTAAGAAGATTATAATCGATTCTTATTTAAAATTTGAACAAATTAATGTTAAACTATTTGAAGCAATACATAGAAACAGCAGTTTAATAAAAAACGGAACAGATCAAGCGAATATCTTTCATTTACATCGAGTAACAGGAAAAAAGCTTGTCCAACTAAAAAATATGTTTAATAGCTGCTAAATGATATTGAAAAAATGAATGAATTTAATCCATTTATTATTGATTAAAAAGATGAACTTTATCTGAAAATAGAATGTTATTTAATTCAAGAAACATTGATTCAACAACTGAAAACGAGTTCTGTTATATTATTACGAATATTTCAATGCAAAGAAGTTAAATTGAGAGAGATTACCCCTCTTGGCTATTGTTCAAGAGAGAGAATAATCTTCTACTTCTCGATAGTCAATAACCTCTTTTAAAACCTATGTTCGAGGATAAAAGAAATAGTTTGAGAGAGAACAAAGACTTTTACTATGAAAGTTAAGAAACATAGTTTTCAGCGGCTAAACTTTCGATAAACAAACATTCCAATAACCGCTAACAATAATCAAGGTCCTGGTGAGATCCCCGGTCAAGATATTTCTGAACCTTTGCTTATCGAAAGTTTACTAGCTAAAAACCTATGTTTCTTTTTAAAAAGTAAACAGTATGTAGCGATTAAACATGAGAGAAGGGAAAACCTCGTTGATTTTAGTTATATTAAGACCAGTGTTAGCTGATGGTAAAAATATTGCAATAAAGGTGAAGTCCGCATAAGAACGGAAATCGGTCCACTAACAATAACCCCTCTAATCGGTCCAAACCTCATCACAATCACATCCGATTATCATATTCGATGATTTCGACCTTTCTCAGCGCTTTCAGTCGAGTATACCCAACAGAATCTACTTGAAACCAAGCAGCAGTTTAGCACCAACCGTATGACTGTCAAATCAACATTTCTCAGTAGCCATTCGATGCGCCATGAACGCTCTACAATATCTGTTAATAAGAAACTTGACGAAACCTGGCAGCATCCTTTTATGAACTTAATACTAGAGTTTTTCATAGGTCGCACCTATGCCAATGAAACGCTTGTTCGTTTTCTAAAGATGAGCTCTAAACTAGTAGATTTTATTAGTAAAAAAGAAAATCGATTCAAATTGTATAAAAAAATAAAAGCTCTCGGTACTTTAGAAACATTTGTCAATAACTCAACTACTGTTGGATATTGTAAATGCCAATAACATTTGTTAATGTAGGACCACAAATAGAACCACAATTAACATTTTTTTCAGAGCATGTTTGAGTAGCATCAGGTCTTATTGTAACCGAACCCTCAAAAATACGACCTTGATCTCCATTGATTGTTACATAGACTGTTGTTCCATTATTTTCAGCATTCGCTGTACTTTGCATTGTTATTACAGGTTTTGCCAGTAATAATACCGATTTTCGTTCTGT